TATTTATCTATTTTTTTGTTGTCGTTGCTTTTGTTTTGAAAATCTTATCAAATTTGTGAGGAAATTAGATGCAATATTGTAATGCACGCTGAAAATCCCATATCTGTACCGCAAATACTGTTTGGAATAAAGCTGTTATTATTATTGAAATTCAAAATTTGCAGCCTCCAGATTATTCAAGGGCTTGGGAATAAGATACTTATGAATTTTCCCTAGCTCAAACACTTCTGAGTATTTTCGGAGAGAAGGCCATGAAACAAACTCCTTCGACAGAGAAATTCACTGGTTAGTTATTACTTGATGAAAACGAATTTTCTGACAGGCGATTTAACCTCATTTTTTGAACTTCAGGGCCATTCCCCTGAAAGTGATCCGCTCTAAACTGAGGGGATAAAATGAGTAGAATGTCGGCCAGTAATATATCGAGTGTTGAAATGTGGTCACGCTTCAGCCACCCATGTGACTGGGAATCTAGGAAGTTTAATGCCTTGTTATGTGTGATTTCCTTGAAGAAAGTTCGCATTATTCCAGCTATCTTTCCTATTTCTACACTTTACTGAGCCTGTTATAGCTTACAGCATTTTCTAAATTCTATCGCATATTAATCGCTGGTATTGCGAGGCTGTTTACTGACTGGTCGTAAAAGCCGTTATGACAGACAAACGAAACGAAGCCCTTCTTCATAATCTTTTCAGAGGATCAATGTTAATATTGTTCAAGTTAAAGATGAAGTCCTTCTTGCGACCAGTACATTGTTTATGGCCTTGCGAAATCTTGATTGTATCGGCAAACATGAGAAAGGAGGATATAATTGTTAACGGTGTTTCTTGCACTGGACCCTAAGGCACTTAGAAAGATAAAAGGTGTTCTCAGACTACTGTTTGTAGACTAAGATTTAACTGTACGTTAGTAAAGTGATGATGCCAGTGAACTGGTTTCCTCATGTTTTGCACAACGAGGATAAGTACCATTACTATGTAGTCGGTTACCTTTGTGATAAGATGCCCTCAACCTCTCCCTGTCTGCCGTCAGGAAGAGCTATATCTAGTATATTGTCAAGTTATTAATCCAAGAACTACTCAGTCGAAATGTAGTGATGGAAGACGTCATCAATAGAGATAAGACTATGAATATAGTACCCACTGCATTGCTGGTACCAGCTGCTTCACTCTAACACCCTCATGATAGAAGGTTTGCAAAGCAAGATTGATTTATTTTGATGCCATAGAGTTCCAAGGCCAGAAATTTAAGACCCTCAAAATCCTGAAAAACCTGCTTTATGGATATCTCTCTTCCGTAATTAAAACTAGTGATTGGAAGTTCCTAGTATAATTTGTGGATCAGGTTTTGAAGGCCAGGCCACTGAAGATTTGCTTTGCCTTGATGATTTGCTGGAGAGCGTAAACAGCAGCGCACAATGGCCTCGATCAATTTGATGGTGGTATTTGTGAGTCGAGTTCATCAGAGCCACTAGAATTAACAGGTTTAGGTCTTAAAAGAATTTTTAAGATATTTAAGATATTATGCTCGAAGGTTACATTCCTAAATCGTTCTATAGAAAGAATGTGAAATGTTCATCACTATTCCAGGAGACTCATTAATTCACTCAGGCTGAAAAAGCCCCTGTCTCAGCCAGATTGTCACTCGATATGCTATCTGAGCCTTCATTGAGAGAAATTCAAAGATTTATCACTTTTCTAGTAGCATTTTCAAGGCAACCTTGTTAGTTTCTCTCCAGATTAAGAAATGGTGGCCTTAAACTGGTTTCCAGTTCCACAGAATTGTACCCGGGAAATCTAAGCCCAGTAGGAGAGAAGAGTTTCCAAACCCCGTCCCAACCCGAAGTTATGTCGCAGCCCCCATTTTCGTCTACCGGGACGATTCTTTGGCTTATTGGGAATACTGCGTGTATCGCCCGCCGGCCAGTCAGTATTGGCTAAACAGAATACAGCTAGAGCCTTTTTATTCCTGGCTAAGATATACGCGTGCACAGAGTTATGATTACGGTGCTGAACACGGACTAAATCTCAAGAAAGTGCGAAATGACCGCACCATATCCTAACTAGCAGCTGAAGCAGAAAAAACAACTAAACTGTGCGCGTCATCTGCGCCATGTGCCAGCCTCAACAGGAAGTAGCTGGGGATACATTCCAACTCTGAGTTTGAAGGATTTGTTATACCATGACATTTTCAAAGACATTAAACTGTATTCCTTTGTGAGGTGTATTAATGGATCCTGAAGAAGCAAATTGCTTCAAGGTTTACACGTCAAGTACTAAACATGAAAATTGGGAGAGTTGTGACTTCTAGCGTGTTACAACACGAAACTATCAAATTAACAAAGCTTGTAGCCCTTAAAATTAGCCTAGCGATTTCGACAATTCAAGCACTCTCACCAGAATCAGGTCAAACTACGTTCGAGTGATATTTCCAACTCAGTTTATGTGATTTTCTCCCGACATAACTTATTGCAGGCTAAATTGCCTTTAAGCCTGAAGGTGAGGCAAAACCTTCCACCTCGTCCTACGCCCAGTAAAATACTAAATCGCCTAATCATGGAGAGAATGAAAGATGCACTGGATGCAGAACTGCGCCAAACCCACCGGAACAAGCTGGATTCAGCAAAGGCAAATCGTGGGTTGATCAAATTGCAGCTCTAGGCATTGTGATCACGGGACAAAGCATAGAACGGCAGTCAATAATTTCATCGACTTCGGAAAGGCCTTCGACAGGCAGCGTTGACCGAGAAGTAATTTGAAAACTACTTCAACACTAGAGCATGCAGTGCACAAATCTTTCTCAACCTCATTCAACAGCTGGCTATATGACAATGCCATGAGTCAAGTGATCAACAACGGAAAACTCAGCTAGGTGTTCGAGGTGAACACAGGGGTAAGACAAGGCAGCTTGCCTATTATCACCGACGATGATATTCCTAATTGTGGTGGCCTGGATTATGTGTCAGACTGAGGGGAGAGAGGAGACAGGAATACGTTGGACCGATAAGAAGACTGTAGAAGATCTATATTTCATAGGTGATTTATGTAGTAGAAGAAAACCAACACACTGGCTGGCTGAAGAAGCAGTCAATGGAGACAGGACTCCGGGTGAACATGGAGAAGACGGAGGTGATGAAGATAACCAACGAACCGCAACAACAACAACCAGCACTAATCACCATCAACGGGAGAGATTTGGCAGAGGTTACTTCCTTCACTTATCTAGGAAGCACAGTTTCAACCACGGGCGGAACGGATGAAGATGTCAAAGCCAGCTGGAATCGAAAAATGCAAGATACGTCTTCATCAACCTGAAGCCAGCTCGGAAATCCTCTGCACTCGGCCAGCATAAATAACAAGATGTGGATTTTCAACACAAATATAAAGTCAGTCAGTTCTTCCATACGAGTCAGAAACTTGCACTGCGTGTCACGAAAGGCATTTCCAACAGTTTACTGGCTTCCCTCAACAGCTGCCTTCGCTCCATTTTGAAGATCAAATGGCTAGCCTGCCAGAAAGAATTAGCAACAAGAAACTCTTTCTGTTAATCATGTAAATGTTTAATTTATGTGAAATATATATATATATACTTACAGTACCCAAACCAACCAAGATCCGATTGCTCAACAAATATGTAGGGGAAAATGGAGATGGATCGGGAATACGTTGAGAAGGCCATCAAGTGATTTCGTGTGCCAAGATTTTGAGTGAAATCCGAATGGGAAACTATCAGTGGATGACACGGAGAAGATAATGTGATAAGGGGATGAGAGACTATGGTCAGTCGTGCACCCAGGTGAAGAGGATGGCAATAAATAGAACAAATTGGAGGTGTGTTGTTGAAGCCCTATACTCCACTTGGAACCCAAAGGAATAAAAATAATCAGTTAGTTTAATTGTTTCCAGGGCGTCTGAGTAGAACAGACCAAAATATTCGGGAAGTTGGAAAAGGAAGTATGGTTTAGTTCTATGTGCAATTGCCCAGAAACCTTGACTTTGCACGTGTGAAATCTCTCCTTACTAAGTGGAATGAAATCGACAGATGATAGAATAAGTTTCAGAAAACACAACCACTGTTCCAAGAGGTTTAAAGTTATTTGTCTGGAGTTTATGAAAAAACTGAGAAGTTTAATGGCCGTCTATGTATGTGATAATGCTACACCTTGGATTTGCTCACAAAATTGACTGAATCCGTAGCCCAGTCCAACCTAGTCTATGTTGAAGCCTCCTCCACCTCCGTCCAAGTACTAAGGGAAAGTAAGATGCAGGTAGACATCCGTGCATGTATTCAGTAATTGATGCCTGTTGAAATCATCCATGGAGCTAGCGAAATATTCTATGCCAATTACGGTATTAATATATCTTCTGGAGTTTTACTGAGCTAACGTTATAGGAATTAAAATTGCATCAAATATCAGATGAACATAGCTTTTGATTGTGAATTCCCGTTTGCTAAGTGCACCATATCTTCACAGGCTGTTAAAACAACAAAAACTTATGGGTCACTATGCTTTTAGAAAAACCATATCTGTTGCATCTGAATATTTATATGTGTTATGACGTTATCTCCAAAATAATATGAACCTGAAACTTGTTTTGAACAAACAGAACTTGAACTGGTTGAGTCGTTGGAAATTATCATAGGGCATCCTTAGTGTACTTACCACAGTTATTGAACTAAAGTGTCGGTATCCGTGAGAAACCTTACTATTCTTATGGAAGAAGTCAAAGGAAATGAAGCTGCAATGGTTAATTTACAAAAATACGAAAATATACGGACTAATTCTTTTAGAGGATATGCTTGGATGTCACTTATGTTAAAAAATAAATTTTTTAGTTACATATGTCTCTTTTAAGATACTGTTTAGAAAAATGAGTGGGAAAGATTAGTGCTGAATTTCAATAGACATTGTGTTTAAATTCGTTGTTTGAGAAATTTCAACGCAACAATTTGAAATTTTATTATAAGTATTCGAGCTCCTTCCTCTCAGACGCATTAAAATGTCTTGTCGCAGAAGAAATCACCGCTACTCTAGTTATCTGGACGATCGTTTGCTGGTTAGTTTTCTAATAAATAGAAAGCTTAAATGAATAATTTTTATGTGACTAGTTATGTAAGATGTATTTACGAATATCTGTTTGCTGAATTCGTTAACCCCAATGTTCACATAACGTCACTGTGAAATCTATTGCAGTATTTATTTTTATGTCAATCAATGTTTCAATGATTTTACTTGACTTACTTTGCAGCATGTAATCAGAAAGCCGATTCTTGAATTTATTGGGTTCTAGGAACATTAACCGTAATCATGCTTTAAAGGGTATGGGATAGTAGGAAAATTTTGAATTTTTAGGGTGATGAGAAATTTTGTGGCAATATTTTTGGTATATTCTTACATTTTCCTGGACGCTAAATCAACACGGTATTCAGTGATTCTCGTCGATAGCCATACTAACTTCATTAATACTATGTCATTAGGCATTGAATTATGTGTTCAGAACCCGTCAAAGCTTGTGAATTCAGGTCTATTTTGGCTCTTGATCAGAAGATACTGTGGTGTATTTAAGGTTAGGCTTCTGTAACTCGATTACCTAATCAAACAAGAATACAGAAACCCCAGATTCACTAGTTAAGTCAAGTCGTTAAATTACGTCAGATTTTATCAAAACTTGATGCATGCATGATTGAATATGATTTCTAACAGTTTGTATATGAAGCCATATCTATTTTCGGTATGCTCAGTTACTTTTTAAACGTATTGTCTGATGCAGAATAAATACGTTATACACATCTGTCTATATCCTTTGTTAAGGTCTTCATATTAGCATAAATGGTTTGTGTTTAGCAACCTGCTGTTGATTCAACACTAGCATACATAAAGGGCAGTAGTAAATTTAATTAAGCACTCAAACAATCTCTAAACCATCCATCTGGTGTGCTAAGCAACGGTTTTACTTTGAATTTATAGCTTAAATCCGGTCTGTTATTCCATAAGGTCCCTGATTAATACATCATTAAAAGTATAATAAGCAGACTACTGAGAAGGAAAAAATACTCCGCACTTATGTAACTATTGTCTTTTTATGTTTCAGGCGCTTTTATTTTAGTAATCGTGATACCATTTAGCGAATTTTACAGGTGTTTCCTATATTTCTTCACTGGTATATACTCAGTTGTTTTGTGCAACAAAATATTCCATAAACTCCAATTAATTCTATTCTGACAATTTTTATTGAGCTTCACTCACATTGTTCAATAAAAGGTTTGTTAATAAAACGTGAAAGTAATAGTGGGCTCACAATGTCAGAAAAAAGCACACCAGTGCTTAAACTATAAGTTACTATGTAAGTTCAAATTTTGTGGTGTTCTCAAAAGAAATTTTAACTTAAGCGAGATGCTTACAGGACCGATAACCGCCTGATTAAAAGCACTGCTAGTCAGTATTGAAGTGAATGTCTTTAAGCTCACAGACAAATTCATGCAACCATCAAAGTTGCATTTAAGTAGAAAACATTTGATGAGAAAGACTCACTAGCCACAAAAGTGTGGAATCTTTAGTGACAGGGATACGTCACATGCCTGACGACTTATGCATTTTCAGAAGACTGAGAGTAACTGGTACATTTAAGTTTCTGATACACTAAAAGTAGCTAGAAAAAAGCAATACACAACCCCGTAAAATTATTGATTCCGTTTATGTAAGAAACTGAAAGTGAGGTTGTAAAACTAAATGAGATTTGATAAATCAGTCAATGGAAACTCTTGTTAATAGGGCCAGTATTCATATATGTTACTGAACATATATGTTCTCACCATTACATCCGTAGTAGTTTATAATCGTTCTAATTTTAATTTTCTTATTCCACCGTTTGTTATACTCATTCTTATTAAATTTGGTTCCTTTAACCTATTTTAGTTATGCTTCATATACTATTTTGAAGTCTGATAATGGATTTGCTACATCATTTTGTAAATTTATTTGGTCAGGGAAAGTGTGAAAAAACTGAGCGCAGGTTAACTGTGACACCATGTACATTCATGCATCCTTACAAATAATACAAGCTTTCACTGAGAGTGACAGGATAACTAAGTGTTTATCGTACAGGCGTATAGACTAGTTACCATTTCGACTGAGTGACTGAATTGTCGACTTCAAGCTGTGTGAAAAAAGCATAGCAGTTGAAGTTACTGTACGTCATGAAATCACGCATTAAGTTACAGGAAAGAAATTCAGTGAAATCATGGATGAAGACTTACGGGGTAAATTACTCCTGTATGGAAACCGATGAAAATGTAAGTGCCGCCCAAAGGGCCCTGAACTACTGTTGCGTTTTACTGATTAAGTACTCAAGAATAATTACTAAATCTCTTGTTCAGCGAAGTGAACACTCGCACAGAGTGGGGAGATTAAGAATTTATTGAGATCAGCCCAAGTGATTCTATCATTCTACTGCAGAAGAAGTTTCGAATAGAGTGAGCTTTACAAAAAGTAAAACAGAAGTAGTAGGCTTATGAAGTCAAACTTTAACAAATGAATTCATCAGAGACACAGATACAAAGTATAGACAAGGTATTTGAATTACTTTAGGGTACGGTCAAAAAGCAAAAGCATTTTCCATTGCGGATAGTTAGATCTTAAATTTCAGTGATCTCTGAATGTGAACCCCCACTAAACACTAAACCTATCACAACACTGCAATTAAAATTAAACGTTGAGAGGTGAAAATGTAAACTGAGAATGTCTGCATTTTATGTTATTGTGAATCGCCTTTTAAAGTTGTCAGCTTACTTTTAGGTTATGAAAGGTTTCTAGGGTTTATCTTCTATACGTTTTTCTGTGTTATTTCATAAAATAATTATCTTGCTTTCATGAAATCCGCATGTTTTCTATCAGAAATCCATAATATTCACTGAGGAAATCTTCTCAGACTGGTGGATTTTAGTTGTCATCACCATATAAATCAAGAATCGTAATGCTGAACTGTTATGTGTACGAAACAGCTTGCAATATAAACATATTTCTGGAAAAAAGAGTTCGCTAGTTCCAATAGTAGAACCTAATTTCTAATCCAAAGACGGTTTATAATATTTTATGAATATTTTGACTACCATATCCTAACAATGCTTAAAGGGTCGGACGAATAATGTAGTTCATAAGCCGTTACCTCGTTTTTAATCCATTTACTTATTTATTCAAAGCTTTGAACCAACTTGATATTTCAGATATGTACTTGTCTGTTCCAGAGACTTGTATCCTTTTATTTCCACGAACTCACGTTCTAGAAGCTGTCACCATATTTGCTTTAGTCAGATTTATTTGTTCCTCTTTGGAAAAAATGTCTCCAGTATATATATATATATAAGCATTACTTGGAATAATCTCAGCTTGTTTAAAAAGACAGTACAAGTTCCTAAACTTTCCTAATCACTCAGAAATTATTTTAAGTGATTTTGTAATGATTTAGTCCGACTCAGCACCGAAGTTACTGCAGGGAATTCGCAGCATCTATGTTATATATATACTGCCTTTTTATTCACAGATTGTGCTTACATACAATTTGTTTGAACTTTGTTGAGTGTGATTCATTTGTTATCGGAAGATTACTACTTCTTAAGTGAGGAGCAGTGTTCATATACAATAGAACGTGAACAGATGATAGTAATACAGAATAAATAAATGAATAACGTGAAAAACCTGTGCAGTTTTTCTTCACATTAGATCTATAATTATCAATACTGTATTCAAACAAAATTAGATGTCATCTACTTTGTGGGGTGTAAAAGCAATGTTGATCAAGTTTTGTTTAATATTCTAAGTATTGATCAGGGATATATATATATATATATAGAACAAATAAAAGTAACTGAAACAGTACACATGACACTACCTATATAGAAATTATTTATTTTCCTTATGAATCATTATGTACGACACATTACGCAGTTTGAAAATATTTTGAATTGTTAATTTAAAGTGAAGACTTCAACTGAAGTGTGAAGGAGGCCTGCATACTTCCAGGGTGTTTTATCTGACTGCAGAAAAAGCAAAATCATTTGTTAAAATTTCAGACAGAATCATTTTGTTACCTTCACTGAATGGCCGACTCATCCTGAAGGCGTTATTTAGAACCAGAATTCATGGTAAATTTGGTTAAAGTTTACGGAGGATTGCATATCTTTTTTTACTTCTCTTTTACACACATAACATTTTTTCACATTCAATGAATCACTGATAGACAGCATGTTTTATTTCTTTGTTGTTTATCTGTTAGGATGACTATCGTTACAATTACAGAAGATCAAGAAGTTCAAGGTAAATCAGCTTATTTCTAATGTTATAAATATATATATATATATATATATATATATATGTAAACATCAGGTATATGCAGGGCATTATCGATTTTTGTCACATACAGTTATTCCTTAATGCTTTGTTTCATTACTCAGTTGTTAATTTTCTCATTGTAGTCACTTCACCAAATATGACAGCGTATTATTTTAATAAGTTGTATAAGATTATATATGGTAAACATATTAAAAGTTTTTAATCCTGAAGTTACTGTGGTGGAAAATGTATTTAATTTTCTTGCATTTTCAATGTGAGGGGTTATTATCATTCATAAGTTTAATTGAAATCAATTATCAGACGTTAAATAGTATTATCAAGTATCGGCTTTCAGGGATTTGATTACTTAAAGTTTGATTATGAGCTAACATCAGTTAAAGAACCACTGGAAAATCAGGGATTACTAGGCAGCTATTTCGTCCTAGTCTGGGATCCACTGACGTTCAAACCCAGGACCTTCAACTTACAGTGTGAGCTCGTAGACCTCTAAGTCACTGGCACCTGATCTAGTAGCCAGTGAAAGGTTTGAACCTCGATGGATCCCAGACTAGGTCGAAAAAGCTGCCTAGTAATCCTTGACTTTCCAGTGGTTCTCCAACGAATGTCAGATCGTGGCGAAACCAATAAAGCAGCACACTGTACTATCTTATATGTAAATAGGCTTGGGCAACTCTTTTTCATTCAGCCACTTCTATTTTCCCTGGTTTACTTCATTTTTGAGAGAACACAATGTTAATAATCAGTAGAGTCTTTGATCTATTCAAGTTGCACAAAATATTTCTTTTCTTTTTAAGAACATTCTCTCTGACAATCACAGCTCAACAATATTATATTTTACAAAGTGAGGGTAAATTAATTTGTTCTCATGAGCTTTGACAAGTTTGTGTGAGTTGATTTAGAAGAAAATGATAGTGGAAGTAATATGTAACTATGCCTCACATTGGAAGCTTCGTGGGTTGAAGTTCACACAATTTATTTTACATTTTTATAAAATATTTTTCCATGGAAATTATTAATTTTAGTCTAATTAGTATTAATCGAATTTTATTTCTTTATAGGCCTTATACAGCACCAGCGTATGACCCATATTATAACAACTATCCAACTACAGCGTATCGATCACTTCCTCCTGTATCTCCAGCGTAAGCTATTCCTCATTTTCAAAGCAATGCAATAATGTGTTAAGTAGGATGTATATTTCATTGATAAGCATCTTTTGTAATATATCTCTTGACCTGTTTAGGTAAAAGGCATGATTACTTTCGGAGAACTAAATGAGGGTTATTCACCATTAATTTGTCCATTTCAAACATACTAGGCTTTTCATATGAATATTGTACATTGCCGTAAAAGTAGTAGTAGTTCAATCAACTAATTTATTAACAAAGTGGCATGGACATCTCGGAAAAACCTTCGTTCACTCATTTTTGAGTAATGTCATTCGGACATCAGCTTTAGTTACCTAGAAACTAAGAAATCTTTTATAGCTGTCTCGAACCTAACTGTTTTTAGCAAAACGGTTACGTCAGTCAAAAGTGGAGTCTTTGAGTTTTCTAGGTCAAAGGGGATACTAATTTGGACCAAAAATGATAAAGTAGTAGCACATTACTTTGATAAAGCTATTTGCATAAAATCGTGAAACATAACTAAAAACAGTATCATTTATTTGTTCGTTCATTTGGATATACAAAATTGTTTATGTTGATGTGCAAGAGATAATCTAAAGTATTATCCAAACAACACTAAGAAAAAAGCAATACCAAAATACACTCACGAAGGACATAATAAGTTGCGTATCAATTTTATGATAATATGTGGAAGTCAACCATTTAAAGTTCAAGAATAGTTAAAGTTTTGTATTTTAAACTGTGACCAGAATTTTAACTGAATATATAACAAACTAATTTTATGATATTTGTTTTGCTTTCTTGAAGGCCTTACGTAGCTCCAGTATACGAAACATATGAAAGACGTCCGTACACCACTTACGTGCCTACCGCGCCTATAGCTCCAGGGTGAGTGATTCATTAATTTGGAAATAATTCGAAGAGTGTTTACAATAAATCACTTGGTGGGGAACATTTTATTGACAGGTGTCTAATATTACATATATGTTATTTGGTTTTCACCTAAAAGTTTATTCTTAATCATCAAAACAAGGAAGTGGAAATAAAAGTGAACAAAGCTGTTGACTTCAGCACCAACTAGTCATCATTAAAGATTGAGGCAGTCACGCTGTAACACTTCCAACAGATATCCTCCAAACATCAACAGTTTCTGTATTTGACTGAAAGAATAGTGAGATGACGGAGTGATAAAAAAATAACTTAATACTTTAGGGAGACTAAATGCCACAATAATAGTTTTAGACATCGACTGAGAATTTGAATTGTTGAACATGAAGCTTTATCATTAAGGCCTACCACCTCTTTTCCAAATCAGCCAAATTGTCGATGGCCATTACTACCCAGTTAATGATGTCACTGTAGATAAACACTAATGTAGTTAAGTTTTTATCATTTGCGTAGCACTGGGAAACGATATTGAGTAACTGAAGTGGAAATGAAATTCACTTACGGGTTAAGTTTTCCGCAAGCAGAGTAATTTCTTATGAATTGAGAAAGGAGTTTTTTGTTTATGCATGCATCAGTTATTGACTACTTATAAGTGAATTTTGGAATTATCTAATTTTCTGGAGGTGATAAAGAGAGAAAAGAAGACGGAAAGCTCCACGTATTCACTATACAAAATATTTCACTATGCTGTGGTTAGCAATCACGAATCAATATGAAGATATGGGCAGTATGACTGGTCAGACATTAGTTGGAAAGTTAAAAGAGATCATTTAACCTACTCATTTATTATATAAAGTTTGAAAGGCATAAGTGCTTATCAACTAACATTTTGGTTGTTTTATAGTGATACTGTCAAACCAGTATTATGACTAAATTATTATCGCTTCAGTTTTTCATTAAATGCATAAGAATTTGCTGGGTAGGTGAGCAATAAAATACAAAGGGGAATATCTGTCAGACATTCTCATTTCATGAGTGAGACTTAAAGAGAAACATAAAACAAAGTGATGTTATTTATAGAACCATATACTTAAGATGGTATTCAGATTTCAGAGAATTTTTCTGTCAGTTACTTAAACTATCTGCCGAAGAAGCGATTTCAATGGTGCAGAGTCACAGCTTAAGTCAACAGAATGGCTATTGTTCAATAATTCGCCTTGCAAACGTTTTCCTAGAATACTATATAAAATAAGTACTGTTTATATTGAAATTCAAGATCAAAACTGAAATGCATTATCAGGTAATAATACTTGATTCCATGAATCCCTGCTGAGATTTTAGTGGCTCCTGTCGAAATCTCTGCAACTAAAATAACTACATACGGATATATCCTTAAAGAATGAATATCCATGAGAGCTGTTCTTAATAGAGAAGCAGGTGAAATAGCTTATCCCTAGTCTTGCAGTCAAATAAGCTACGGCTCTGTCGTGCATAAGTTTAAGATTAGCCTCAGTATATATACACATATATAGTTCAAACGATGTGTTGTGTAATTCATCTAACTTTAGAAAATAAGAAAAACAATTTCATAGACACCTTTCCTGAATAAACAAACTGATTGAATTGTTCTTAATCTAGAGAAATTAAGGAGAGGGAAATATTACTTAGGTGAGTGAAAGACACAATAGTCGTATAGGCTGTAATTGTTTCATATTCTGAAAGCGTCTTTATGTTTTACTTTTTGAAACATCTAGACTTTTATTTCCTCTGTATGTGAATGTTTATAGTGAGACTGATATTTTCTGTGTTATTTCTCATGGCTTGTATATTATGTTTATCACTTTATTCAAGGCCATATCCATCAATAACGTATGAACCACCTTATTATCGAACACTGGAGTCTCCTTATCGTAGGTGGGTAAATAATTTTATAAATATAGCAAGTGTACACTTTATATTTAAAAAACCTAGACAATTGTTCGTTTGAGTCCATTCTATTAAACTCCAATATGATGATGGTGACTGCTAACCATAGTTTCCTTGTTTTCATAGTCATTACCAAGTGAATATGCCATCTTGTCTGAAACCCTATTTCTACCAGCTAATTATATTCTACACAAAGTACATAAAAAATACTATCATTCATAAAGCGTAACTTAATACCAATATCTTCAAATGCCAGGAAATAGTTTCGGCTAAGGGGGTAGTGATTTTAGGTGGGTGTTTAACTTCCGATAACATTCCAGTCTTTCTATTTTGTATTATTCAAATATTGTTAAAGAACCTAAGTCTCTACCGATTTTTGTCCATGTTATATCCAAGTGATGAAAGGTTTGATTCTGTCCTTCTGTTCATTTGGTACTTTTGGGTAGAATATTCCACAATCGTGGCTAGCTGTGTGACTCATGTATCTGGTTCAGTTGTTGCAACTTATTTTCTTGTGGTCGACTCCGCTTTTTTGCTCGATCGAAAAAATTACCTTCATTTGTTCTGAATTTTTGTCTAGTTTGCTGGTTGTTTTACAGAAGAATATTTTACGGTATTTCTTTTCTAGACGCATTCATCATAGTTCCTTCAAAATTAGTTTGCATCAACCATCCGCTTTTTAAAAAAATTGATGGAGGAAAATGACCACTGTTCAAACTAAAAAATTTAGTCATTAACTGTGTTGTTACTTAGGGTCATTCTTTTTGCTACATTTGGTGTTTGTCTTCACTTTGTCTCTGTTCTTTATTCATTTCACCATCAAAGAATCACATACAGTGTCCAGGTTTTACGTTCCTGTGTTGACATTTTACCTGCTTCTGAAGATCAGATATACATACATTTTTTGAGTTATGAAACGGGCTGACTGATATGACTTAAAGTTTTGATAATTTTTATTTCTTCATGGATTGGTCATAGTCATTGATAATACATTATCAGTTAATTTTCAGTTAGGGTGCTGAGCCTAAGGGTTGGTTTTAAAAGAGTTAAGAAAGGTCATTTGAAAACATGACGCTAATGAATGAAGTCTTCATCTACTGATCTCAGACATTCTGCAAGATGAAGGTTGTCTAACTGGGATGCGTGAAATACAGAAGTTATTGGCTGGTACATTTCGATGGTCGTACTGCATGTATATATATATGAATTCACTTTTAATCACTCTCAAAATTTAATCACTTTTGCCTATCTTCGTCCAGTTATAATAATATTAATAATAATATCTCATACTAATGTTTTGGTGTTGATTTGGTGTGAGTAACATAAAATGGGGAGTTTAAAAGGTCTATGAGTATTCGTTTGTTTGTGGGAAGTTTTTATCACTGCTTTAGATTTTACACTGTGTTTAATGATTTATTTGTAAATATTTTGACTGACAACTGCTATAGATCTGTTCGAGAGGTATACCAACCACGCAGTCCTTCTCCGTATCCAGTTCGTAGAACATTATCCGTTGATCCTTTAGTAGAACCTGAGTGAGTGATTAACTTACAGTAACACTTAATGTGCTTCAGATTTATCATTATGCTTACTGAGAATCGCGTAATCAATGTTTTTTGAAACTTTGAAGTTTACTTAATTTATTGTAAACGCCGTTGTCTCATTTCAGAAATGAGTTGGGGTTTATAGACATGTTCTGTTTCATGAATCTGAACAAAAAGGTAACAGTAGTTGGACCACTGTTAGATTTTATAGAATTCACCGATTTCGACTTATGCCAGTTTCAAAAAGACTGCAATTCATAATGCATTTACAGGAATAATTCATTAATGGTCGGTCTTTTACCTTTACTTAATAATTGCCCGTTCTAAATACCAGAACTTTTCGTTACTATGTGTACACGTTATTTTGAAATGTTTGTTGAATTGGATAGACAGCAGTGAATGGTTACCACATCTTGTTATCACATTCCCATACTTGTATTTCCCATACTTTATGTCGTTTGCATTATAAAACCTAACATCACTCCTTCCAGCTAGCGGATATTCTTGCGTAAGTGTTGTGTTCTGACTTTATAGATTGTCCATGGCTGATACGAATCTATGGAATGAAATGTTATGGTCTGATGCTATCCGATCATTGAGCTTTTTTGTTCAGATATACCTTAAGTAAACAACACCATAAATATCACCATCCTTGGAAATCACTTGATTCTTAACACTTATGAAAATCTTACCACTGCAATATGAAAAGTGCTACCTTGTATATTAATTTTAAACATCCTGCTATGGAAAGGTTCATCAACTAAGTGGTTCAGCTTTTATTTGTGTAAAAGAACAGGTATATGCAGTTGTTACTGAAATTATTTACAACTGTTGGGAAAAACTGGGCAATTCTATTCAAATGAGTTAATCAGGCGAAATTTTACTGAGTTAACTGGAATATAGATGTGATAATTACAGTTTAGGTATCATGATCTAAAAGGATCCACCCACTAAAACCCTTACTTATTTATATTATGGTGCATTAAAATATCATTTATGAGTTATATCTGGTGAATAGATGTATAGCGCTTTAGTACGTATTAAACAGTTTTATATCCTCATCTACTTGTATTATCATTCAGATTTATCATGATTTTGTTTGGAAATACCCATTAACATTTTTGTAGAACTTGGTTTTCTAGTACTATCAGTTCATATTCTCCTAGTTAGACAGAAGTTTGTTTCCAAAGTTTGACATAAAATGTTTGTTACAGGTTAAAACCCTTTGAATCTTATCTCTAATGGATTACTAACTAAAGTTTCAAAGTGGATTATATAAACCTACAGGTAATCCCTAAGTCATGTAAATTTACACAGATAACAAAATCTAATGTTAGAAACACGTTATTTAAAGTTAACGTTTAAACTAAATAGTCTGCGTCTTACTATACCTTTTCATGTTTCTCATTTTTATGAAGAACATCTAACAACAATTGCTTACGATGAAATACAGCTAATCCTAAGTTCACTAGACATTATTTATGCATTTCCACCGATAAAATTAGTGTTTGTCCTCTAGATGGATTCTTTTTGCTTTAGATTCGAATAATATTATTACACCACTTGGAAAGATTGGCAGTTCAGCTGGAACGTAACATTTGTTTAATGCTTTCCAACTGCTATTATGACTTAGTACTAAATATCAGAGCTCAGAGAATAATAAGCAATAAGACATGGTTATATCTTTTATGCTTACTTAGGCACAGATTTGCTATTTTCTGCTGAATAAACGCTTGATAATAGGGTTAATAACAAGGTGATGTGTTCCAGTTTTCCTTTCGTATTGCCTTTAGGCCAGTGATCACTGATTACCTTTCAAAACGTTTATCTGCCTTAAGCTTCATTTATTTTTACATAGATTGTGGAAGAAACTTGTGTAGAATGGTTTCTTAGTATGATCAAGTGAATGCTCAGTCAGATTAGACTGAGCAATCAGATTCATTTTCAACATTTATGCAATACGTTATACATCCATATTGTTTCAGCATCTAAGCAGTTCAGTAGAATTCTCTAGATGAAGGCAGAACCATATCATTTCCTACTATTTTTGCTTGTATATTTTTGTGTTTATTTACGTGCTGTAATTTTAAATCTCTAATGTCTTATTGTTTTAAAATTATTCTTGGTAATGGAAGTAAAAGCTTCATGTTTTCTAGTATAGTCAAGTTATAGTCATAAAGTACCTTTCTTATTCTGAAAATTCCAATTTACACACTTAGATAACATAACAAATTGAGCGAATAAATACATTTTTTCTCTATTAGTTCCTCATCATCGGCTCTATACAGATATGTGGTGTTTTACATTAAAATTATACTAATCATCTGCTAACTTTTAGTCAGTATGAACTATCAGTATGTTGTGGAATGCTGTCAAAAGAATAATTTTGTTGTGTTTCCACTATGGAAGTGAGGCTAGTTGGCTTATTCTTTGCGACTTTTGAGAAATGAATGAAACTACCGGTCATTGTTCTATAATCCCTGTTCATTCTTTATTTGCTTAACCAGTGGTGATTTTTTCTAAATTATCACATCTTTTTATTTTGCTGATCTGCTATATTAGTTATTCATTTGTTGAAAAAAATAATATTTAATTCTAAAAAATTATAATTTAAAAAAAGGATGTTGTTAACTGTGTGTGACAGCTTACTAAACAACCCTTATTTTTATGTTTTATGCTTATTCACCTTATATGGTCCTGTTTCAAACTCATAATTCATGCTTTCTTTCCTTTCCATTTTTACCCATCAATTTGATGGTACTACCAGCTGGGTTTCTAGCAATGGTAATACGCTTTCATATTCACCACGTCCAAAAGTGGATATATATCACGAGTAAGCTAAACAAACATTTCTGTTTCTTTTTCATTATTGTGGGAAGTTTGTCAGATAGAATAATTATATGAATGTTTTGAAAAGTATTTGGTATTCATTTAATTGCTTTTGCTGTTGACGTAAAGTTGAACTAGCACTAAGTTTCGCGTCCAAAACACTCAACAGGAAAAGAAATTAAAATTAACGTGATACACCAAATAGACTGCATCAATTGTAGAAAAGAACTATATTGTTCAAAGTGGACTCCCCCTTTAACATTGAATCAGAAAACATAAACTTGTCGTCAAAAGAGGCAGCATGTATTCCTTCATATCAATGCATGTAGATAACTATGGACACCTGTATAACAGAGGAAATGTATTACTCTTAAGCATTGGAAATACTAAAAATGCTTATGAATTCAAAAAAGCCTATTTGTCAGATCAATCTCCACTCAACAGACCTTTTGCATTAGAACAAATTCATCGACAAGTCACAAGGTAATGGTAACAAAAAGGTCGAATTCCCAGCCAATGAATCGATTGACACCTATGCAAATTAAAGCAATTTTAAGAAAACTTCTGAAGACTACCAATCACAAACAAAATCATCAGGAGAGGCAGTTACATCATTCATAGGAAATCTCTAAACGTCACTTTACACTGAAGTAAGCCTTAAGGATGTTATCCTAAAGGACAATGAAATTTACTCAGCTCAGAGAACACACCGACATCAAAAACATCCATCTCAGCTACAAACCTCCCCCATTATATTGCATATGTATATGTGTATATGCGTCTTTACAAACGAGGCTGTATGACTGTTACGTCAGTATTTTTATACATTTAGATGACAACAATAAAATTAGTCTTCTGTACAGTGACTTCCACTCAACTAAAAATTTCTGTTATAAAGATAAATAATTAAAGTCCTAAACAATGAATTCAAAATCTGGATCTATTTAGGCAATTTGCATATGCAATGGACAAACGTTTGGCAAAATGTAAACAAACTTTGAGTTGTTGAGACTTAGTATTATTAAAATATTTTATTCACCAGTTTATATTATCTGTATCCATAATTATTAAATATTACAATTTCTTTCCCAGAGTCCCTGGATATAACAGGTACGCTTACTAGAGACAGATTTCTGGCTGCCTTATAGATAAGTGACAGTTTTGGTAAGTGAATTTGACATTTTTATAGACACAAACATTTCATATAATATTTCTAAAAAGTAATAACTGAATAATTAAATAACTTACATATGTTAGATAATATTCATTCTGCAAATATTATCGACGATGTTTTCTACACGCTTAAACTATACTTGAATGCAGTGTAATGATGCTTCACATTTGTTAACAAAGTACTTTCTACTCTTTACCTGCTGTGATATTTCTTTGTTTAGCAAACAGAATGTCCCACAAAAAAGTGAACAGCATAAGAAATCATAATTCCTAAGAATCTCAATGCTCTAATCGTGACTGCAGTCTGCAAAACACTTTCGAAGCTGTAATATAAAATTGCCAACCACCTTTTACAATTTTTGGAAAATGAACCTATAAGTTATTTTAAATTAGTACGATTAACACCCTCTTTTTTATCTCAGTCCGTATTTCTAAAGACCTTAGAAAGATTTTCATTTCTGATGTTGAATCTGTTGTTGAAATGAAGTTAGAAAGGTATTATAATTTGTTAATCCATCATAGACTGTTCCGACAACGCCGCTACGAGCACACATATAATGTTTACATGAACAGTTGAGCACAAAAGTCTGTTCGTAGAGATACTAAGTAAGGTGATAAAAATAGACCCTTCTCATCACATTATCGAAATATCTTGATACAAGCTTCAAATAAACTTGGTTTTTTGAGTGCTACAAACCTCCAGATAATACACCTGAGTGATTTTATCAAGGTTTTAGGTCTTATTTTTATTAATCCAACTTTGACAAACGTTTTGTCAAGTTATCGTTATTTCCAACCATTAATTGTAAAAATGTACACCTTTTCCGAATTCACAATGTTATTTTGGTACTCATTATAAACTACGCAGTTAAGAAATTCTTACAATTCATTTTCAAAAAGTGTGTGAAATAAAGGCTTCTGTTACTCATAGTGTCGTTTTCTAGAATATTATGTATCGCAGTGTTGACAGATGAAGACCCAAAGCAAGATAATGGAAACAGTGGGATTTTGAAGGCATTGAATAAACTTCCACCCCCATAGTTCACACTGTTTATTGCGCTAATTTTTCTCATTCTATTTTAATATTTGAGAGGGAAATTGCATGGTTGAATGCCAGCAAATGTGTTTTTGTTTCAGGTTGGAAACACAATACTACTTAAAATTCTGACTAAACTTTAAATCAGAAATTATGCACAGAAATAATTCGCTTCCTAATTTACCTCAGTAGGTTGTATTCTGATATTTCAGAAAATAAAATAAATTGTGAAATGTTTCACAGTGTTCTGTGTTAAATCAGCAATTGCTGAGATGAAGATAATATATTTCATAGTTATCTTTAAAGCAAACTATTTATAAATGCCTCTTCTACTCATGATCACTTTATCAACCGGTGAAGAATTCAAATGTAAATACTTAAGCAATTACAGCATATCAGTTGATAATGAGAAATGCTATCATTGTAAATTATGTAAAGTAGGCTTGAAGTGTGTTGAAAACGAATGTCGCATCACTTTTTATTTCATTAAATGACCCCTACTGTTCAATGAGCATATTCCAAAATTTAGTACTCTTAGCTAATAAATAGACACTGAATTGCTTAATTTAAAAAAAAAATCATGTCTTACAGCACGAATGTTCTTTTAATTTATTGTTGTGTGAATCATACTCATTAGAGTGAATTGTGTACTCATGCATTTATAATTCTTTTTCTAGTTAAATGTGTATTTCAGTTGATCTCATTTTTAGTTACAATGTGATTACTTTCTTTTAGGTAAATAAATATACCACGAGGTACACAATGACAGAGTATTCAAAGTAAATCTTATGCACAGTCTTATTCTTGACAATAAAATTATCAATACAAATTATAAACTAATTATTTAAAATACACTTTCATGTCAGCTTTGTTTTTTGTTAATTGAAAATGTGATTATGTGAATATTTATATAGTAATTGTCACTATAATTGTAGTCTTTCTAAGCATTACAATATGAAGATTTTGTAATCTACTACCCATGTTCGCTGGAATTATTATGTAAACACTTGCGATATTCACTGGATTAAGTAGAGAATTAATACAATTAGTACTAAGTAAATAGACTTCATTAGTCGATTTATACATAAATCAATAATATTCAGAAAGGTTCTAGTGATACGCTGAAATCCTACCACTCAGTAAGTAAGTGGTAATTAATCTTCAAGAGATCCATGTGTTAACCCATGACTAGTGAATGAAATAAATGCTGTTGACAAATACATTATTTACTTTGCATAGAACTATTTACATTTCAAACAACACTGAAGAACTTACTGTCTGCATAAGCACTTAAAGTAAGTCATGCGTTATCCCCATCATTAGTTTTGCGATAATCAGATTGTTTCCGTTCATGTCAGCTGTTTGACTTTTCATTACATGCCCTCTTACTATCTTGTTTATACAAGTGCAATAATAAGGGGTAGAAAATTTACATGTGCAAGATGGAAGGTGATATCTACGTAATACAGTATTTATGGATTTGTAAATTCCATGGAAGGCTAGAGCAGCAATAGTAGCTGGACCTGTTTCCTCTTCAAACGGAGCACCGGTTGTTTTAAAGAAATCGCAGTGGCCTCTGATGTTTGAAGCGTTGGGTACCTGGATGCTTTTGGAAACTTATCTGGCACCCGAGATGTGACATATTTGAACCAGGTGATCGAATTTCAATCTGTTAATGGTTTTCACAACACTTTTATTTAGCCACATTGGTAGTTGTTCTTCAGCAAGAGAAATTAAGTTCTCAGAACAACGGCCAGTTTCACCGATTTCACAAGCTTAGTTAAGTAGGCAGATACAAGAGAATGTAACTAGCCCAGTTACTTTAACTTTTCGTTGGGGAATCACTATCGGTCGTGTGTAAATTATGACCGGCAGTTAACCAGTTATCGTGATTGCAACTATTGTTTGTCTTTCTTCTTATTTTCCAGTTCAGTTTTCTGAAACACCGTATAATTGCAAGTTAAGTGAAACACGTGTCTGTCTAAAGCGGTCTGTTATTTTTGTAACATCATCTGACTTCATGATATTTACTTGAAGTAATATTAAAAAATCTCAAATGTTGTTCTTAGGACTGCGAGCTAAAATGCATTGATCATACACTGTGAGCTATTTGCTAACATATATTTGTGACTCTTTTTTAATTGGTCAAATTAAATTTGTTTCTTGAACCGTGTGTGCGGTTTTTGAGGAGGTTAAAATTTATAAAATTCCAGTTGTGTACCTCGTAGATATGTGCCAATGACTTCGGAATACATTCACTTAAAAACAATACGTTATCGTTACTTGAAAGCTACACTTTTCTTTACAACGTATGTACTCGGAAAATCAATACTTTAATTGTCAGCTTCTTTTCATTATGCAGATATGCACACATCTTCTGTTATCAAAGTTTGTTCAAATATTCTGCTTTAAGAAATCTATTGTTGAGCGATGCAATAATACTTAGAAATAATATCAATCCTTGTATTATAAAAGCTTAATGCTGTTTCGCATAGATTAGCGTGAGAATTTTAGAATAGAGATGTGAGTTATCACAGTATAATTGTGTGGCAGTCTGGAAGAGAATTCTGTAGATATCATTTTGTAGAAACTGTGCTATCGCGTTAGGCGATGGAATACACGCAATACCTATTTTGCTCTACAGTGCTTGTTATCAGCGTGAAGTTTGTAATATTTTTGAAGCGAGCCTGAACGAAGAATATTCTGTTCAATAAATTCTCTTCAGGTTCTAATTGTTATAAAATATAATATTTGTTATTGTTATGGTAATGGCCAATTATATGGCGGATTCGTTTTTAAGTAGAATAACAGATTATTTGTGGGGTGTCGAAATAAACAGTAGTATTTGTTTGACAAGCGTGTTGGGCTAAATACAGTTACAAAAATTTTGTGAAATGAGAGACGATAATGGTGATTAATTGTGGTAAATTCATACAGTGTGAGGAAGAAAAACTGACAAGTCAGTTCAAGGTTATAAAATGTGTCTATTGAGTGGTTAGCGCAAAGTGGCATGCATGAAAGCGGAGATAGTAAGGCTGCAGTAAAAAGTTCGTCCTGCAGTAAGCAATTGGTGAAACGAAACAGTTGAAGTCATAAATTGAGTAAAGAGATGATATTACTAATATTAATTCGGGATAGTATAAATGGAAAATTCCATAGTGCTGAAAGAATGCTAGAATGCACTATATAAAATATAACAAATAATTATAAATTATAATAGGCAAAGCCAAAGAAAAAAGGGATAAGAAGAGGTGGCAATCTTGGTGAAATTCGAATCCAAGTTTGGCTGCGGTAGGAACAGCGCCCCCTGTTGTTCTTTTTGAATACAAAGTTCCCTTTAAGTTGATCTTTTTGCAATAGCTTTAGCAATAGGTGGAAAGCGTAAGAGTACTGTGCGTGGTAATGACTTTGGAATTTAGTATATAACCCTGAAGGTTATGCTGGTGTCGGTGCAATGTGGAGTATCAACCAAGTATTTCAGAATCTAACTTTTTGTGAATTTGATCCCCCATTGCTGAATCAAGCTGGTAAATGTTTTGAAATACGTAAACACACCTGCCTAATCATACGCCTTATATAACTTAAACCACAAGAACAGTTAAAGTGGTATATACATGAGGAAGAGGTAAGGTTAGGTAAGACGACCTTACGTTTCTTGAACATTGGACGGCTACAGAAGGGGAGGAACATGTGTGTAGGGTAGAAAATATTCTTTATCGCTCTGGTTAGACGTTGGGATTAAATCTCCACTGCAGTATCTCCCCTGACCTGTAGACAAAAAAATAATGGATTTATCTCCACTACTGTGAGATCATGTTTACAGCTATTACAACCTTTGTTGGCTTTCATAAACTTCTCTCAACATCCGCTTTCGCTTAGAGTGTCCCAAATTACTCGGAGTTCTTTCTCTACACAATTTTTGGAGCAAATAAACCTCGCTCTAAATGCTAAACACCTGGTGAGATTGCATCTCTACTGCATAGGTACGAATCTAAGGAGGTGTGTATATTGGAACCCTGGTTTCTAGCTTTCTGCAGAGAGTCATTGTATTCGTAGGTGAAATGGACAGATGGGTGAGTACTATTGAAGGGGCTCAAAACAAATCACTACGTACACCTTCATTGTACACTACAAAAGTATTATACATGTAAAGATAGTCCAGTTTCATTTTAGCCGTTTCATCTTTCAACGACCATTTTCTAGTTAGCTAGAAATATGTTCGCAAATATAAAACCTAGTGGTGATCACAGGATGACTCCATCAATCTGTCTGTACACTTGATCATTAAATAAGAAGTGGACATTCGTTGTACATTTAAGATGCATTTGCTTCAGATTAATAATAGGAATGTTGGCGCAAAATGTTTGCAGATATAGTCAACGATTTCCATGGGAGGTACATTAGTGAATAAAGATAAAACATTAACTGATGCTTTGTATTTATCAGTAGCGTTCAAGTTTGTTATCTTATCAGTAAACCGAGGGTATCCATGACGGTATGTTCCACTCTCATTGCACAATATTTTTGTAACTGTATTTAGCCCAACACGCTTGTCAAACAAATACTACTGTTTATTTCGACACCCCACAAATAATCTGTTATTCTACTTAAAAACGAATCCGCCATATAATTGACCATTACCATAACAATAACAAATATTATTTTTTATAATTGTACGAAATTGTACTTAAAATAATATTTTTCGTCCAGATTCATCATTAATTTATGATGTTAGAATATTTCACACCACTAAGTGTACATATAAAATACAGTAATTGTGTTGTCAGTATAATTATGCCACTTCTCTGTGTTATAATAATAATAATAATTTACTTTATTCCAAAAACAGTACTTATAATACAGAATGGAATTCTCAGTATTTGTCACAATATTGAATCTGATTTACTCAAAATATATATAAAATTAAAAATTAAAACAAAATTAATCGGAAGAATTTGTCCACATTTACGACATAATTATTAGATATAATAATAATTATAATTATAATAATAATAAATACTAATAACAGTGAGTTTGTTTCAAACGGTATTGTCGATTCAGTTTGGAAACTTTAGCATGTTATGGATAATTGGGTCTAATGTTCTGTTGATATGGTATAGTGAGGTGAAATACAAAGTTAACAGTCATAATGCAGCTTAAAATTATGTCCACACTTATGAAAAATAAAATAAACAAAACGAAAAAATTGAGAGGATTATAAATATAAGAAATACAATAACAATAAAGTATGATGCTTTAAGGTTGAAGGAAATGGTCCATTTAGTGGTGCTAAGAAGGTTGGTTAGTTCATTTCTGACATTATTTTCATCACATAAAGTACGTGCTAAATATGGTATAGTGGAATTTTTATACTTAGACGTACGTGCATAAAGTCTTCTGAAAAGACTTCTTGTTTTACCTGAGGAGACACAAGGTTGGAGCTTAGTTATATTGATCTAGACATGTCGGACAAATATTCACATGGTGAACCTATTGTTTTGAATAAATTATTATTCAGTGTTTTGATGTTCTCTTAACTGAAGAGGTGCTTTGTGAAACTCTTAATTTAATTCTAGACGAAAGCAAAAATAATTGTATGAAGAAGTTATCCATGACGATGGTGTGTTTGTCTCAATTAAATGTCTGGTTTTCAGCGATTACAGCACATAGTATGGTTTTGAAAACTCTTAATATTTAACCGAGCGGTGGTACTAAAAGTTTGTTGTATATTTAATACGAAGTT